GGGGGGGGGGGGGGGGGGTTGATACCACTAGTCGATGAACTTGTGTGTGTCTCCGTAGAGCCATCGCTGTGGAGGCATGGCGGCCTCATTGAGATGGTTGCATTCGTCGCTGCACTTGCAGGACTGGATGAACATCACGGACCGGTTGAAGCGTTCTCCGTCGGGGCAGGTGAAGGCCACGCTGGCGGTGCGCGTGCGACGGGGCGAGCAGCAGCGGCCGTCCCTGCACACGCCGCAGTAGTTGGGCCTGTACAGACGAGTGCTCCTGCAGCCGGCGTAGGACAAGCGGTGTGGCTCCGGGGCCTTATGGGTACGAGAGCACTTTCTTCCTTTCTGCAGAGGGAGAACGGAGAAAAGAGCAAAGTCAGACTTTTCACTTAACGCCACAAACATCAGCCTCGCGGTGGAACTGCTGTCAGATTTATCAGAATGCTGCTTTTCATCAAAAGTTTGCTTTTGCGTGGAGTCGGAGCCGCACAACATGAGAAAACCCACCGCTCTAACTCTGACACATGGAAATCAAAGTTAAAGGCAGTTAAGTACAGAGGCGGCAATAAACAAACTGAAGGTCAGAGCAGCAGATGAGTTCCAGGGAGAGGAGCGTGCCAACAATAGCCGGGGACTGACACTGAAGCACATTAACACCCACAGCGGCTCTGCAAACATCGGGAGAGCGCGGTGAAACAGGTGCATAACAACCCATCAGCCTCAGGAGTGTTTCTGAAGGTGTTGTGTTCAAAATGTGAAGGAGCAACAGAGTGGGCGCAGCGAGGGCTCTTCACATCACACAGCACGGAGCCACTGAGTGCAGCTGAAAGCCGCAGTGTCGCAGGGTCAGTGTGGGGGAGTTTGTCCTCCATCGCTAACAGGTTCTAGCATTTATGCCGATGTAAAAAACGAATGTTTGTCGTGTTGTGTGTACAGATGAGCTGCTAGAAACTTGAAAAAAGTTTGCAGCTGGGGAAAGCAGGAGGCTGCATGAGGGAGGCCTGGTCCAAATCAGCTCTGCTCACACAGCAACAGAACCGTGAATAGACGGGATGAACCAGAAAAGGCCCCAGCCACAGAGGGATTCAGGGGTGGGGGGGCGGGTATATACATGCCATGATATTAATACCAATCTGACCCGTTGAGAGAAATCCTTTCCTGATTCCATTTAGCATGGTGGCTGGACGACATAGTTGAGGGCCATTAGAGGAAACGCTGTAATCTATCTCCATCTTAAAAGCACTAAACACATTCCTCACCTTGACGGGGATGGACATGGAGCTGCAGGGCCGAATGTTGCACAGGCGCGTCTCCTTGATCAGCTTACAGCGAGCATTGTCATTGGTAATGCGAGAGGAGACGCCCATCCCACAGCTCCGGGAACACTGAGACCAGGAAGTAGTCTGAACCACACACTGGTCGCCCATCTGCCTCCACGCTGGGGAGAGGTGAGAAGAGAGGAGACGTGAGAAGAGAACAACGACCTGACGACGCAAAAAATCTGAAGCCGCGGGAAAATTGAGCAGCGACATCAGCAGAGGTGAAGCAGGATGGAGGGAAAGGGCCGCTGGGAGAGAGAGGGGAGAAGCAGAGACGCAAAGCACACAGGCCTCATTCACTGAACAGGCAACACTGACGCATAGAGAGGGTGATTACAGAGAGGGTGACAGAGGTATGTGCTGTGTGAGGGCAGTGTGAGGGAGAGGGTGTACCTCTGGTGTGCAAGGAGCCAGTGGAAAACAAGCCTCACATAAATGCTGACACACACACACACACACACACACATGCACTGATGCAGAGGGCAAGGCTCACAGTGAGGCTGTTTGTGCGTCAGAGGGCTAAAATGGTTAAAACATAAACATGATGCTTTACTGCGTGGAGGAAACAGACGGCACTCTGAGGCGACACGGTGGCACCCTCTCTTACCCGCCAGGTGCTTGTTTCCACGTGGCTTGTCCCACTTGCGCCCCAACTCCACCAGCTCGTTGCCCATGGTGTCCTTCTCCTTCTTGGGTTTGTAGGGGTACAGTTTCCGGTAGGGTTTGGGATAAGGCTTGGGGTAGGGGTAGGCCGGGTAGGGGATGAAGGGGTAAGGCGGGTAGACCGGAGGTTGGGGTCGCCTGTGCGCCGGGGGCACGACGGCGCTTCCCTTGTGGCAGTCGATGCTGAGGCAGCACTGGCCTGGCACCTTGACCAGCTGAGGGGCAGGACAGGAGGGGGACGCCAGGGGCACGTGGCTGGGGCAAAGGGGCACACAGCCCACGGCTCCGTCGATGCAGGTGCACTGGTGTTTGCAACCGGCGCGGAAATTCTCGCCGTTTTGGTAAATCCGCCCGTTGTATTCGCAGGAGCGGCCCTCGGCCTTTGCTGGGGGAATCAGGAAGACACACAACGTGGTCAAAATACTTAAATACTAGAAGCGGCTCATCTTTGATATGACAGAAGGGAGAGACACACTATCTCCAGATTTATGAAGCGAGCTCTATTCTTAGACCAGAGGAATTTTGACTTGTTTACAATGTCCTTCCCCTTTTGCTCACTCAGTGGAACTCCCCATATAACACCCTGGATACCCCCCTCTACATAGAAACACCCCCAAATAAACACACATATAAAAATACCACTGTGTGTATATGTTTGTGTGTTTCGTGGGGCTGTTTGTGTACACATTGGACTACTTATATAAATCCCGGAGTTGGCCAGGTTTCAGTCGCAGCTCATGAAGGTGCTCTGTTTTCGAAACGTGGCACAGGCTTCAAACCTCAGGCTCCTATCAAAGAGAGACTCCAGCCGCTTGGCTCGGAAGCCAGATCTCCCCACCCTGAAGTCACACATCCCCTCGCTCAACCCCCAAACTCTGGGCCCAGTGTGAACCCAGAAAACGAATCCAGCTCCTCCTCCTGTACGCACCCCTGCAGATGCCATGGGTACGGCCTACATCATTGCCGTAGTTGCACTCCAGGCCCTTGTGGTGGTCGCAGGGCCGTCCTTCGTGGCAATCCTGGTTGAGCTGGGCGGCGCACACCTTGCAGCAGCCGCAGCCGTCCGGGACCGAGCTGACCCCTGGGGGACAGGATGGGGGCCCCGCCGGACACTCGCAAACCGCCGGGCAGCCTGCAGTCACCTACAGGAGGGGACACAGCAGAACAGCCATGTTGAAAAACAACCATCCTGCGGGGAAATATTCCTGTGAGGAGAAGTCACACTGGAACCGAGCAGGACAATAGTTTGACTCATGTTACACAGATCAGAGAAATTCCTCAAAGTGTGTGTGTGGCTTGAACATCAGCTGAATACCCAGCACTGTCCGCGGCCCCACAGGGATATCTGTGACCCTCTGTCGCCTTCCGCTTGGCATTCGCCGGACGAGCGGGGATGAAAGGGATCTTCTCTAACTCAAAACCCCCCCTCATCTTTTGTTTCTCACCCTCTCTGTCTCCACACACACACACACACACACACACACACACACACCAGGGCCTTTCCACAGCTCCCAGCAGGTATTGAGATCACAGGGAGCTGATCAGCATGACTGTCCACGGTCCGATCGCCCAGAGGGATCCGTCCCTTCCTGACGGCTTCTCTCTACACCAGCCGTGCTCCCTCTCTGGTGTCACTGACAGTTGGCGGTTGTGGTTGTGGGTGTGTATGAAGGTTGGATGTGACATCACACAATGCAGTGACAATAACGTTCCATTTTTAGCATCATATTCGGGGTGTAACCTGGTACTTGAAACATCCCCATGTAAAAGTCACATAATATTCTTGCAGATATTAATAAACTGCAGTGAGTTCGTGCTGATGGGTTTTTAATAGTTAAGTAATAATACCGTAGTGTAGTTATAGAGGAACCATGAATATAAATATAATAAAGACTATGACATTTGGAGGTATCTCTTATTTGCTTTATCAAGTTAAATTTAGGTGAATGTGGATAGAGAGGTAGAAGTACATTTACTGAAGTACTTTTCCGAAGTACACATCTGTTGGATATGTACTTGAGTATTACCACTGAATGCTTCTTGATGTGTATGTTTCATATACAGTATATTCCTACATTTAATGATGTGTATTTATATTTCTAGTTATTTACTTTGATTGGCTTTCTCTGTTTTAACCGATGTAAAGATTATTACATGTATTACTAATGGTATTAATACTCTTCAGAAGGTTTTGCTTGATGATTATAGATATTCAACGACCAACCTGTTCCAATAACTTATAATGGTGTGTAATAGTATAACACTCACAGTGGCCATGTCTCTGCATGAAGGGCAGCAACTCTGGTAATACTTATTATCATATACTTCACATAAGAAAAACACATGAATGAAAAAGAATAAATACACACACACACACACATATATATATATATATAGAGAGAGAGAGAGAGATGCAGTACTTTCCAACAAATTACTTCACCTATCATATACTTATTACAGTGAGGTTTCATCAGAGCAGTATTACTCTGACAGACCGAGATTAGTTTGTGTGAAATGTGACCAGACGACAGAAACTCAAATCCTCAGCGGCTCCAGTTCGAGTCCAGACACGTGAGTGTTTATTCCTCAGTGTTTACGTGCAGCAGCAGCAGCAGCAGCAGCAGCAGCAACACTCACCAGACCCACTGTGACCAGGTGCAGGACAGCAAATAGCAGCAGTGTCCCCATGCTGTCGGCTCAGTCACATAGGAAAAGAGAGAACGTGAGCAGCTCGTTAAAATCACAAATGTAAAAAAGATAAATCCCGCAGCAGCTCGGAGACGCGGTCCTCACAGGTTAGATCCTCCGGAGCTCCTCTCGTCCTCCATCATTCTCAAACTTCTCCTGGAGGGAAACGCTCCTCCCCTTTTTATACCAGCCCCGTGCTTCTCATCCCGGCCCCTCCCACTCCAGAACTCCTCCAGCCAATCAGGGGGCAGGCGCGCGCGGGCAAGGTGTCCCGAAAGGGGGCGTGGTCGCAGGCGGGGCGGGGCCTGGAGGGCCACTGACAGCTGCAGGGCGGCGGGGGGGGGGGGGGGGGGGGGGGGGGGGGGGGGGGGGGGGGGGGGGCGTGGCCAAGCATGAATGCAGTCATTCATAAAAATTCAGAATTACTACATTCCAAAGAGGAGCTGCGTGTTTATTTATTTATGTTCGAGGGGAAAATAATATTTTTGATGCTTTAAAGTTCTTTTCACACGCACACGTCTGTCCGGCCGCCGCTTTGTGAAAAGTAAAGTCAATATACTCAGCTGCTGCTCCGTGCTACATTAATACTGCAGGCGGCCAACAGCTACTTTAGGAAAATACCCCAAGACAAGAGCTGGACAGATGAAGTACAAGTACGAGGAGAGCGGAGCTGACTTTAACGACACGAGTGAGTGATCGCCATGTTGAAAATGATTATGATAATCTCCTCCTTCCATATCCTGTCTGTAACCCCCACATTCCTTTCACCTACTCAGAGGTTCCCACCACACACACACACACACACACACACACACACACACACGGCATGTAAACACACAATAATTAATGTACATAATGTTTTGGTTGAAGAGTCCGGAGCGGTGGTGAGAAGCGTCCCCGCAGACATTCACACAGGAAACCATCTCAGTGTCTCAGAGGACATTATTACATTGATTACCTAAACATATAAAGAAACTATAATTCTATAAACTACTTTAACTTTAAACTAAGCTAACCTAACCCTAACCTATAAACTATTAACTTTAACTTTAACCTAACCTGATCGAACAACCACAAACATCAACCTTACTTTAACCTGCACTGAGTTTAAACGGAGAGTTGGGTGTGTTCATGGCGCAGAAAAAACACACACATCCACCGAGGTGAGGATAAACTCACATCCTTTACTGAAAGCTGAGGCTGAACTCCAGATGTTACAGCGACACAGACGATACAGAAATGTAGATGAATGGTGAAAGAATGAAATAAACAATTTCTGAGTGGAATGGAAGTGATCACAAAAATGTTAGAATAGTTCAAATGAATGAATTTGACCTCTGACCCTTAATGATAATGTTTGTTGTATTAAAGTAATTGTGTGATTCTAACTATTAAACTATCGTGGGATTTACACAATAACTGCTGAACAACTTAAAAAGCCCCATGTAAACTGTGTACAAGTCAGTGCATCTTTTTTTAGAGTGAAAGAAGTAGAATAAAGCGGAAATACTCAAGTCAATAAATGTATTTATACATAAATAACTGTACTTACATGTACAAACACCTGTATACGCCCCCTCTGCAAACACACTCACATTTACTTATCAGCAGCAAACCCCATACACACACCATCACACATATAGTGTCCAGTTTTTATAACACACGGACACACACAGAGACACACACACATTTACCAAACCTCCATCCTCTTCCCACAATCCTCTCTGTGAGGGACGGGGGTGATGTAACAGGCCCGTGTAAACAGGGAAAATGAATGTGTGTGTGTGTGTGTGTGTGAAATGTTTTTGTTGTTTTCATATTTAAGTTCCATTGACTCATCAAAGAATGATTCCTTTCCACTTTGGTCTCGGTGGCTTCCATCCCAGACATAATAAACAAACATGTGCGTTTTTTTCCAACACACCAGAGTGGAGGCATTCATCAGCTCCTCTGGATCCTGGACACTGACTCTGGGAGCTTCACCCCGAGCGCTGACCTTTACATTCTGGAGCTGACGGCGAACGTCCACCAGTAACGGTTAAAGTGACACGAGTCTGCTTTAAGAGTTCGCTGGAAAACCTCCCCGTCACTACTATTAAAAGGTGGGAGGGAGAGAGGGGGGAGAGACAGATCGAACCTTTCGAAAAAAACAAGTCTGGGGATGAGACACGTGAAGAACGTACAGGTAGAACAGGATGGCAGTGTGAGGTCAGCAGAATAAGAGTGTCTCTCTTTTCTTTTCTGACTTTGTGCCGAGAAGAGCAAAACGTTATGAGTCCAGTTTAAGGAAAAGCTTTGTGTGTCTGTGAGAGGAAGAGTGTGTTCATACATGGGTGCAGTGCACGTGGACAGGAAGACAGGTGTGGAGTGTTTGTTCAGGAAAGCCCCTGCCACACCTGCCGAGACAACTCCCACCCAGATACACATGAACACACACACACACACACACACACACACACACACACACACACACACACACACACACTTTTGACCTTTGGTACATGATTTAATGATTTGTATGAACCCACATATTAAATTGAGGTGACATCATTGTGAGAGAGGAGGTTCTTTCTTTCAGGTTTTATGTTTTGACTCAAACTCTTGCTCGTTGGCGTTTCCAAGGAAATTAATTACTGACATTTTTAGACTTTATACTCGTGTCTCAATTCAGAGGAAACACACTTCAGAGGACGCGGTACACAACCCCAGAAATAGCAACAGAGCTGCAGTTGGACACGACTTGTGTACCTGTTTGCTGTTCAGTTGACTTGAGGCATTGGAAGTCCCTGTCCGACCTTTTCCTTTTGAATCTTAGGTTCTTTTGCCACCATTGTTGTTTGCATTATGTTTGTTAAATTCATTCTCTCAAGGATCAAGATGCAGCCGCACTGATGTGTTGCCGAATTAAATGTTTTATTCTCGTCTCCGCCTGGGCCTTGACAAACGATCTCTCTCTGAGAAATGGCAGTTTTTCTTTTCAACACAGCCTCTTCTTCTGCACAAAGTGGAAATGTAGATGTTTATAATATTGTTCTGTGTGTGTGTGTGTGTGTTTGTGCAGTAAGGAAAAAAAAGCAAACAGAGTGCACAGCCTGTTCCAAAACAGAAGAAAGGGGGGAAAGAAAAACAAGCAGAGAGAGAGAGAGAGAGAGAGAGAGAGAGGTTAGGAAAGCACCATTAAGAAAGGATGAGACGAGGGGGGTGAGGAATTTTAGTCCTTAAGTTATTTTTAAACCATGAACAGGAACTCTACTGTTGACTCCTCAAACATTGAAACATAGATCGGCATAAGGGGAGAGCTGGGTGAGAGAGATGGGGAGGGTACGTGCACACACACACACACACACACACAGCCACCAGATGTGTCATCCCACACACGTGTCTAAATCCACATACATGCGTCCCTTAAAACACAGTGCTGTAAACATCTGCTCTATTACATGTTCTCGAACTCACAGCTCACAGGACGTGAGGCTCCTTCATCATTCACTCACAGTCGTCGAAAAGCTTCGTGTTTTTACGCTCACATCATCAAAGCTTCAAAGTAAAACGAAAGAATTCGACTTTTATTGCCACAACCCTGTTTTCCCGTAAGTTTTTATGTAGATGTATATATGTGTGTATATATATATATAACAAGACATAGTGTACATGAGGAACAGTCGATTACAGGCCAATGGTGAGTGTAGAGGAGTCACAACAATTAAAGATGATGACAGACTAGTAAAAGTACAACACAGAGAATCCAGTTTCACAAACTAGAATAAAATCAGGTCATTAAGAAATCAAGTTATCCCCATGTGAAAGAATGTTGTAGTTGTACATCAACTTTTGTAATAAGTTGTATTAGCTGTAGAGATGTTTGTGAATTGTAGAAATATCTTTTGCATGTTTGAAAAAGTTTTGTAGCTGAAGAAATATTTAGTGCCGTTTGGAAATGTTGTGTATTTGTGAAAAGGTTTTGTGGCTGTGGAAATATTTTTAATTCTATCAAATGTTTGGCCCTGAGTCATCAGATACTAAAAATATCCCTGCACAAATGTGAATTACATTTCCACAGCCAAAGTATATTTTTTAACAAACACACAAAATATTTCTTCAGCTACAAAACTTTTGACACAAACACAAAACAACAACTACAACATTATTTCCCAAGCACCAGGTTTTAGTGACCCTGCTTCGACTGTGACGATGTTCCTGGCACAGTCGAAGCAGCAGCAGCCTTCAGCTGGTTTTGCCACCGCTGCCGTTATTAGCAAATAAAGACATCTGGGTTCATGAAAAGTGAACAGGGACAAAACTCTCCCACAAAGACGAAGAGGAGCATTCTGCGTACGCAAAGAACACACGCCCTGCCTTTCATTCACGCTTTGTCAGGGCCTGTTATGAAACCTCAGCTTCTTCAATGGCTTTTGTTTTCCCAACAGCTGCGAGGAAAAGAAGGGAGGAGCCGGAATAAACAGCCACAAGAGGGGAACGGTCAGGTGCAGCGGCTCCGACCGTCCTGAGAAGCTCGTTGGGAAACTCACGGTACAGTATCTGCGTCACACGGTATCACTTCCTCTCAACCTTTGACCCCTCTCGGCTCCTTCTATGACAGGAGGTCAGCGTTAGCACGCACTCCTGATGGGGTCAAGAGAAACTGGGTCACCTGTACCTGTTTGTCAGTGAATATGCATCTTGTTAATGGCGCCCACCAACCAACCAAGGCAAGGTCACGCCCTCCCTTCTGGATCCCCCCCCCCCACCGCCCTCCCTCCCTCCTTGCGTCTTCGCCCTCCCTTCACCTCCGAGGTGTCACAGAGAGCACCCTTGTTCTCGGCCCTCTCCTCCTTTCCACCGGGACCCCTCAAAAATCCCAGATATCCCTGCAATTTCCGGTGCAATGTTTATTTGGCATAAAGACGGAGTGGTGGTGGGGGGGGGGGGCTGACTGCCTTGAAAAAAGAGCCTCACTCACAAACAGTTTGAGGGTAAACATGTGCAGGAGGGGGACGCGAGGCGAGCGGTAAGAAGGACTGAGGCCCGTGTGTTCAGGTCCCGACACACAGATCCCACCTCAGCAGGGACACAGTGTGCAGCTCTGTTCAAGCCCCAACAGCCTCAGTCTAATAAACCACCACCCAAACCCTCCCCTCTACCCCCCACTGTCTGTCCTCGCGACAGCGTCCCCTCCTGGAAAAGCGAGGGCCTGCAAGAGAATAACAGGAAAGAAGGAGTGAAGTCAAAGAGCCCGAAATAAAGATCTCACTCAACACTTGGTTATTTCATGCACGACTGGAAAAGGGATTGGACACAACAACAGGAACGTCTTCACCACAATATTTGTATTTTATCTAATGAGCGACTAGAACCTTATCCACTTCTCTCTTCAGCAGGATATGAACTAATGAACAGATTAACATGAAACATTTTTTCTCGGAGCAGATCCGGATTTTGTTTTGCATTTTTCCGCAGAGAAGAATTCTTGGATCTTGATGAGAAAAAATCCGGCATGTTTAGAGGATTGATATTTATGGAGCAGATCCAAATAAAAGATTGAAGATTTAAAATGTGGTTTGTTGTGGAAGTTTGACTTGTTCGATATCATTCCAGTTTTCCAAATGTGCTCATTTGAAGTGAATGCTGTTTAATTATTTATAAAATTGGATAATAACAATTAATCAAAGTTTTTTTTTTAAGTAATGAACTGTTATTATTTTGATTGGTCAAGTTATAATTCATAATGTTATATTATATTAAAAGAAATATTATATTAAATAATCAATAACATGTAATAAAACGTGATATCGTGCAAAGTGTTCATGTTGATTGTCCTCCTGTATTAATATGTTTTATGTTACAAAATAAAATAAATGTAATTTACACAAACAGCTAATACATTTAATAAGCTAATGAAAACATCCTATAATCAGATATAACAGCTCCACCTACAGAACAAACGTCGACATGTTGATGATCTTCTCACTGTGAGTCAGTCTTGGTTTATTTAATGAAAATACAGATGTGTGTTTACAAAGCTAAAAAATAATATATCAGGTTAAACTTCACAGATTTTCAAACGTGTCTGTCACGTTATTAAAATGTTTTAAATACATGAAGAACATAAAAAAGTCAGAAACACGGTCGGTGCAAAAAAACCAGAGTCACGAGACCCGAGGTCAGCGTCCGCTTTTCATTGGCTGCGTCTCACTTCCCCCTCGATGTGATTGGCCGCAGTGGCAGCACAGGTGGGGAGAGGACGGGGGCATCTGGGTGGGTGCAGGGTGAGGGTGGGGGGGAGTTTTCTGGAAGCAGGAGGGGCACGTGAAGGAGGGAGTCGGACTGACGGATGGGAGGAAGGAAATGGGGGCGTCTGTCTCTCCTGTGACTCCCGTCTGTGTCAGTCAGTCCGAGGCCTGCACCCCCCCCCCCTGCACCTGGACTCAAACAGCCGCCGCTGGTTGTTTGACTCCTTCTCTTTCTCATCTGCAATGTCCAGACTCTGTAGCCAGTCACAGAGCCTGGCGTCCATCTCAGCGAGCGACGCCGCTGCACGTTTCCCTGCACAGTCCACTCCCACCCTGTAGCTCCTCTTCCTCCTCTTCCTCCTCTTCTGATGCTGCTTCTCTTTGATCGTGGGATCCTGTGATGTCTGAAGAGGAGTCACCGATCTGCCCTGCCTGCCCACGCCTCTGCCACCGACTCTTGCAGATGGACAGATGTGAGAAAACAGCTGTCTGTCCTGCTTCCCTGCAGACCGTGAACCTGACCTGACCACAGCTCTCCTCTGTGGATCCACTACAGGCTCAAGTGCATTCAACGCCCCTGACGGTGCATCATCGCTCCCCAGTGGGCACGTAGTTGTTGTTGGGGCACTGTTGCTTGTCAGTATGTCTGTAAAAGTGTGAACCTCTGGAGCTTCAGAGTTGTGTGCGTTTGCAGGCAACACGGCTGTGGACCTGCAGAACAGAGAGCGCAGTCGTCGGTGTGGGGGAACGCTGAGGCCAGACGGTTCTACGCTGCGAAACAGAGGAGGAGGTCGAAGAGTGGAAGAGGATGATGAATCTGCAAGGTATTTATCCATATTAATATCTTAAAACGTCCTTCACATATCCCTCTCAGATGTCCTCAGAGCAAATGTCTCATTCCACTGTTCAAAAAGAATACACCACAGTCCAAAGTCTTCCTGAAAGTTTGACTTCTTTAAAACCTCAGAAACATACAGATGTCCATATGAAGGTAGCTGGTTTTGGCAAAAATGAAAACATTCATCTGTGTTCCTCTCTGTCCGATGTCTCGTTCAGTCTGTTTGACTTTATCCACTCAGCCTGGGATGACACACACATCCACACCCACCTTCTCTCTTTCATCCCGCTGCGCTCTATGACATGAAACACTCTGTCCATCCACCACACGATTCCATCTATTTGAATTATGATCAGAGTTGTTTGTTTGCGTGAGAAAATTGGAGCTGCACACGACTTATCGCCTATTTATTGTCCAGACACACAATGACACAAGTAAAAGGGCTTCACCCAATGTTTATTATGTAAAATGATATTGTCCAGGGCAGTTGCTGATTTTAAAGAATTGACTGATTGATTAGATTTTGGTGTTTGGAGATCGGAGGTCACGATGACCTCTTGCTCTTGTGAACGTGCTCTATCAGGAACACACAAAATAACAACTCTTATTAAACCCATCTCATTTACCTTCATCGATTATTGCTGGACATGATTCTTTTAGTAAGGTCTTGCGCAATCAAAGTGTATCATCGTCTCCTCAAATATATATTTATATCAACACCAATATCAACTTTCATACGTGATTTTAAAGGTTCGTATTTGTAACGAGTATTTTCAATACAATTAAAAATTAAAAATGCCCAGAAACCTTTTTCCTCACTGGACTTGTTTATGCTCATTGAACGAAGCTCCTCATTCATTTATTGTATTTATTTATTTTACTTTTACTTAAACTTTGTATTTGAGTATTTCCAGTAGAATAAAATAACGGTGGAGCGTAGTGTTGTTCCAGACGTGGCCGGGGGTGGCGCTGCTCACAGCACCGCAGAGGATCCACATCCGCTCGGTGACTTCTTTTTAAATCTGCGGCTCCAGACCGGAAGTGCTCGTTTGTTCCGCGAGGTGAAGATCAGCAGCAGGAGAGAAACGTAAACATCAAGGTACGAACACGCGTTATTTCTGCGGTGTGCGTGAGTGTGCGTGAGTGCGGGGCTCAGGAGCCTGTTCGTAAAACTCTGCGGGCTGTGTGCGTGAGTGTGCGGGTCACGCCGGGAGAAGGAGGCGGGGTGAGGTCAGGACGAAGAGGGCAAAGTCATACGTAACGGAGGGTAATGGAGGAACCGAGCCGCCGGGAGAGAGGCAGGGGACACCGGGGGAGGTGGAGCAGGGAGTCCGGTAGAGAGGCAGGGGACACCGGGGGAGGTGGAGCAGAGAGTCCGGTAGAGAGGCAGAGGACACTGGGGGAGGTGGAGCAGAGAGTCCCGTAGAGAGGCAGAGGACACTGGGGGAGGTGGAGCAGAGAGTCCCGTAGAGAGGCAGAGGACACYGGGGGAGGTSGAGCAGAGAGTCCCGTAGAGAGGCAGRGGACACCGGGGGAGGTSGAGCAGAGAGTCCCGTAGAGAGGCAGGGGACACCGGGGGAGGTGGAGCAGRGAGTCCCGTAGAGAGGCAGGGGACACCGGGGGAGACTCACATACATACTGAATCACTATTATACAGAGAAATCTCAGAAAAAGATAGGAAGTAGAAATTACTTTTTAAAGAATGTGTAATTTCATAATAATGTGTGAGACTGCAATTAATTATTTTAAATGTACTAAATTTAAGAATGTTAAGCGATGTTATTTGTTCATATTAAACATTATTTCATTGCCTTTGACGTCATTTAAATTAAAGACCCTTCCTGAGTTTTCAGTAGCCTACAACAGCCTGTACACATGTTTATATTATATTTATATTTATTTCTATGTGTGTGTTCAGAACAAATTTTCCTGGAAAAGAATGTGACATTTAATCTTCCCCATGTCTCACGTGTTTTACACAGATGGCTCACAGGCTGCTAGTACGTAGAATTTGGACGCTGTCCGCGAAAGATACCCGCTGCCTCCCAACATCCACTGCCTCCATCGCGTCCTCTTCCTTCTCCACCTCCCTGCAGTCCGCCACAGCCCGGGTCCTCCTCCTCTCTCCGTCGCGCACCCTGCCTCGCTCCCTTCCTCACACCTTCAGCCGGACGGTCTCCTTCAATGTCCAGGACCACGAGGACTTCACAGAGAGGGTCATCAACAGCGAACTGCCCGTGCTCGTTGACTTCCACGCACAGTGAGTACTGTCACGAGTAAAGCTCCTTCATCTCTTTATTCAAGAGTGTGGTCTTTCAGTTTGAGAGCAGGAGGTGTTGATTTCACTTTCAGGTTTTTTAATCGCTCTCAGTCTGTGGTCTGAAAAACTCAGCTTGCTGAAACCTGCAGAAACCCTGATTCATGCTCTGACTTTAGAAAGACCTTTTGTTTCACAGCTCTCCTCTCTCTTGACTCTCTGGGGTGACTCATGACTACACATGTTACATACAGTGCGTGTTTGTGTCCTGCTGTTTAAAAATATACATGTATGTAAACAGGGGCACCACCATGGGGGATTCCACTGGGAAGTCACGCAAGGTTACACAGCAGCTACAGTTTCAAAGACAGTCACTGGATATACTGTGTCCTATAGAGGAGTCGTCACCTCCATGAGGGCTTGATTATTTATTGCAAATTCTATTCCTGGTGCATTCTGAAGACATATTTTTATCTCACGTGGATCTCGTCACAGTTTTATTCTTCCTGAACAACTTTCTACATCTGCATGATTTAAATTATACACACTTAAGAGTGTGTGTATTAAATTAAGCTCACAACAATTATTGTTTTATACTTGTAGCAGTCAAACTCAAGGTGTTTTGCCGTTTGTTCTGTTTGTGTGTTCTCTTTTAAGGTGGTGTGGTCCCTGTAAGATCCTCGGGCCGAGGTTGGAGAAGGCTATTGCGAAACAGAAAGGCCGCGTTGCCATGGCCAAAGTGGACATAGACGATCACACAGACCTCGCTATTGAATATGGGGTGAGAGCTTATTTTATTTTGTAAGCGTCTAAACTTTGAGGTTAGGGTTTTAGTTGCATAACCTAATGTTGTTCAGAAATGTTTTTTGTCTTGTTGTATGTCACATGACTTCATGCGTCTCCAGGTGTCTGCTGTCCCGACAGTCATCGCCATCCGGGGAGGGGACGTCGTCGACCAATTTGTTGGGATCAAAGATGACAATGAGCTGGACTCATTTGTCAGCAAAGTCATTGGACAGTGAAGCATCTGTTCCCGCCCTGCCACTCACCAACATACTTCCTATTTCTTTTGTACGACTCTTAACATGGTCGGCAGTTCTTCGCCGCCATCTTGAGCCTGTTTAGCAGCCGCCAACAATAATTACAAACACGCCACGTTCCCAGCTGGCAAACTCTCAAACTCTCACACCCATACCTAGACACACTGCCTCAGCTGTGTATCGCTGCTTCCATCTCGTTCTTGGTTCTCTTGTTTAGTGATGGGTGTGTGCCTCCATTAGCCTTTTAGTTCAGGCTGTGCTCCAGTTTGGAGCAGTTCCTTTTTCTCTTGAATAATGTGACGGCTCCTCGGCTCCTCTTTCATACCCCGGAGCTGCCGAGCTGGTGTGTAACAGTTTGCTGTCTGTAGAATGGAAAGTACACCGCTGTTATGCACTTATACTGTTTTACATGAGGGACAAACATTTATAGTTTTAATTGTGAAGAGGATTTAACTTAAAACCGGACAATACTGAATGAGAATCTTGTTATCTGTAGTTCCTGCTTTTCTCCACGAGAGGGTGGCATTTCGTTAACATTGCAAAGCCACACATGGTCATTTTACACCATTATGCCTAACAATGTGAGAGAGGAAGAAGTCTGTCTGTCTGTCTGTCTGTCTGTCCGTCTGTCCGTGTGTCTGTGTGGGTCCTGACTGTGAAGCTTAAGTCGAGCAGGAATTGCAAATTCTGAGTTTGATTTAGTTTCTTACTGGAATGAGCTCTATGTACGGAAAACAAGTGAGAAAAGCAAGTAATAAATAAAGATGTTCTGAATTCAGCCTGTTTTTTTTTTTTTTTTCCTCTGGTAGTTTTACTCTAATCAAATGTTTTCATTTGTGTCAGCAGAATTTAGAAAAAACTACCGAAACGATTTTCTTGAAACGAGGCAGAATGTTTGAGCACCAACAAAAAACCCATTAACGTTTGTAGCAGAACCAATTAAAGGGGCACCTACGGGAAGTGTTTCCACTTTGTATGAAATAGAGAAAGAAATTGGATTTAATGGCACCGTTGGGCTTTGGTGGACGTGTGTGCTCTCTCTCTGATAATGTAGTGAGTTCATGTTTTTTGTCTTCAGCACATAACTTACCAGTTGATTGCTATTCTTTGTGCTTATGGCATTCAAATGCAAAAGTAATACAGTTTTCAGATGGTGAGACGTGACCCTCGCCAAGGTAAATACACGTACATGGCTTTCTGCTTTTTGCATTGTCTTGCAAATCATTCATTCAATCATAGAAATGTCCAGTTTTGTGATGTTGCACTGTTGTATGTCTCCGTTAGCTCTGCCAAGGAGGTTATGTTTTCACCCTGTCCGTTGGTTGGTTGGTTGGTTGGTTTGTTTGTAAGCAGGATTACACAAAAACTACTCAACGTGTTTACATGACACTTGGTGGAAGGAAGTTTGTTCTGGGTCAGGGAATGATAATAATAATCATAGCTTGAATTTATAAAGCTCCTCTCAAGAGACCCAAGGACTCTTATCATACACTTATAATATAATAATAATAATGAGGCCAGATTTGAAGAGCCTTAAGTGAATGAGGTGAAATGGGGCAGAAGGAGACGGCACCAAACCTGCAGTCAGACAGTTATTGCGTCATCATTCCCTCCTCTCTCAAAAAACCATTATACCTCCCATCCTGATGCATGAAGTCATCCACAGCTGACTGAGTCATGCAGCGGCCTGCAGACGCTTTTTAAGAGAACAACAGTGGACTTGATCCACCTGCACGTTCAGCCGTCCTGACTCGGGTTTGGCCAGGGGACAGAATCATGCAGGGGAGGCAGAGACCCAGAAAAGAGGGGATTCCACTGGCATTACGTAGGCAGGTGCTGAGAGAGGGAAGTGACTCAGATGTGCAGACAGACCCGGTTGTTGTGAGCTGGATGAAAGACATTCCTGCATAGTTGTCAACGCTTGTTGGTCTGTGCGACAGCACCTTTGTTAATGATCTCCCATTTTAACCACCATCGACCTTCTTCTTGTCAGCTCGTGAGCTTCTCAGTGATCTCTGACTGGTCTGCAGGCCTCAGGGCTCATGACTCAATCTGCCCCCCGTCTCATCCTCGTGGTCTGACCTCAGACAGAGAAGTGAGGTGACTGTGGAAGTGACGACAAGCTCCGAGGGTTCAAGAGCAGCAGTAACTCTACACCTTTTCTGTAAAAAAAAAACAATAGACCACACCTCCAGCCATGCTCCCGCTGTCTCTCTCTCTTACTCAACCACTCTTGTGACCATATAAGGCAAAAAAAAGACAGGGGAGCCAGTGGCTGCTGCTGCTGCTCAACAAACCGCCTGAGAGACGCTGAGGGGCAGAGTTGCAGAATTTTTCTGGTGCGTCTGTCCTAATTTGCCTGCTGCTCTCTGCCCCTGAAACTGTGAATGTTTGCTTGTGAGTGTTTGTTTGAAATTAAAGTGCCTGATGACACGGAGGCTGTGTTAGTTTCTGTGTGTGTGTGTGTGTGTGTGTGTGTGTGGGGTAGAAACTCTGCAACAACAGATCTGGCTCAGGCTGAGAGAATCTGTGTTGATAGTAAATACGCAGCTGTATTTGTATTTGAAACACACGCTGCCCTCCAACTTGTTCGGCCTCCGCTCTGTTCCAGACGAATACCAGCCTGAGACAAAACAGCCACTGCTGTTTAGTATCCCTCCATCTTTTCTTCTCATGCATCATAGAGCACTTGGCGAGTTTGTGAAAGCAGCTCAGATGATAAACGAGGAAAGAGACTTGGTAACAAAAGAGGGGAAGCTTTGCGTAGTTTCCCTTAACTCTGCATTCCTTAGTTCTGTGAGTCAACATGTGTTATCGCCGCTTTCTATGTGCTGATGACTGTGGAAAGGAGAAGGAGGATGGAGGCGAGAGCAGGAAGAATAAATGGCCACCATCTTATTGTCACATCTCAAAAGCAGAAGTCGATCCTGATTCTTGTTTGTGGTCCTGTGCTGTTTGCACAGAACCACACACACACACACACACACACACACACACACACACACACACACCAGCATTATCATGTCAAGGGAAGAAGTGGTTCAAGCAGGAGGGCGTAGCACATGGCTGCTGAACAATGTTGAACAAAACACAAGATGTTGGAATGAGCGGCGACGTGTTTTCCCTGGGATCCCATTAAAAGCATGTGTGTGTTGGACTGCGTCTCAGTGCGAGCCAGGTAAGAGGTTACAGCTGGAAGGTCTCAGTCATATACGGGATCTCTAAAGACGCAGATCTGAGCCTCGGTGTATTTATACACATTTCTGTGTTCATGGATGAGGGCGCACACACACAGAGACGCTCAGATTCTCACAGAGACACTGGAGCATGAACGCCCGCACACATGAATTCACACAAGTAATTACACGGCGAGAGCGGTCAGTGACTTAACATGGCACCCTTTTAATGTGCTGACACTGAATGGGTCCTTTTTTTTTTTTTTTTTCCCTCGACTGGATGATATAATGGCTTTGCACACCCTGAATTACAGACACACCCTGCTGCTATTACAACCGACTGAAGGAAGGAAAGAGAGAGAGAGAGAGACTAGGTCACAGTGAAAAGGAGGGCGTGAGGTAGAGGGAGGGAGGGAGGGAGGTCAGAAGTGTCCATATTTGGTCATTTATCCCAGCGTTTCTGCCTTTCTAAGCCCCGTTCTGTGTCTACATGTGTGAACTTTTTCTCGGTTTAACCTTGAATTCACAATCGTTTACTTTTTATTTATTTGTTCTATGCACACAGTCTCCCTCTGTCATTTACTCCCCCCCCCCCCACCCCGTTCTCCTCCGCTCGGCCCTCGGCATCTGGTCCTGCTCAAGTAACGGGCGAACGCGTGATCTTTGACCCCTGAGCTGAAATTTCAGAAATTTCCCATCCGTCCCGGGGGCCGAGAGTGTGTGTGTGTGTGTGTGTGTGAGATTTATTGATTTTTCCAGGCGGGCATGTCGAACGTCAAATGTTTTGCCTTACATGCAGACATGTGATGCCCAGCTGCTAAACCTATAGGCGCACACATGCACACATTCCTTTCATAGCGACACACATAGCGAGCGTAAATCACACGTTGTCACAGAAAATGTGATTTTCCTACGTTTATGAATGGACGCCAGCCACAACCGAGGCTCCATTATACCGTGAGCGTTGTTCTGTGTGATGTGGACGTCACCGATGGAGGCCGTATTTTCATAAGCTCAGGTTACAGGTTCGTCTGTTTCATATTCCGGCCTCTTGTCTGGCTTCAGCCTCCAGGTAAAGAGAGGAAGATGAAGCAGAGAGACGTCACGATTATTCACTTCCCTTTCCACTTCCTTCCTCTGAACCCGTTATCCCAGCAGACGCATCTGTTCATGAACGCCATCCATCATGTAACGTGTTGTTTTCACCTAATTCATCGAATTCAATTAGCGCACTCTATTACTTTTAGCTATTTCAACTGTTTATTTACTTTAGCTACATTAAATATCACCAATTATCCATAAGATGTTTAGTTTTCACACTTTCTAATTGGCAACCCACTGGTGCTACAGATGACCTGACGTGTGGATCTTTATCTTTCAATCAAATCATATTATATCTTCCCATAATCTTTCCCACGGAGGCTGCAGAAAGACCCTTTGACGCACCATAAGCTCTCGTAAGGAATCGCTGTTTCAAGTTATCTTCTGGCCTCAGCTTGTGCTGATCAAAGCTGCTTAATTTTCAAATATGTTTCATTTTGAGAAAGTGCAAAACTTTTTATTTTCCATTGCTAATGTCTCCCTGCTGGTTGTGGCATGTGAATTGGCCCCGTGCCTCCAGCTCCACTGCACAAACCGGGTTTCAGATCAATCCCAGAGGGGTATTTGAAGTAAACAGGTTCTCATTGTATGATTCCATTCTTCTGCAAGGATTTTGGCAGTGGCACCTCAGATCATCTCCACACCCAGCACTACCGGTCCTCTTCTCACACTGCTGTCCTACGATTCCGTCTTTTTACTTCCACTTAACAGTTTGTTTTTTACAGACTTCTCTTGCTTTTCCCTTGAGTTCTCCTCCATTGTTTATCTTTTCATCTTCTCCTTCGCTTCCACGTGATAAGGATGAGTAAGAGCCAAGGAAAACAAATGTCAAGGTTGATTTGTTAGGCTGAACAAGTGTTTCTCCCATAATTACATCATCACCTGCAGCGGTTCCCAGGTAATGTTGACGTGTCTCGTCATGAACCTTGTCCGACCTGCTTCGATGATGGGAACCTGTGTGAATCCAACAACTGAAATGTGCTTTATCTCACATCTTATCAGTTCAAAACATCATTGCAAAAAAAAAAAAATCCAGATATAGTTTGAAAATTGACACTTTAACCTTAAAAAAATGTAAATAGCATTAACAGCTATTATAAATGTACATTTACTTTCATCCACAGTTATTTTTTTTTCACTTGGATCGAAGAGCTCAGGCAAGTTTTGTGAGTGAGATAATAAAAATATTTCTCGGTTTGAAACAGAGGCCAAAAGGGTGCAGTCACTTATTTTTTTAGCAAGAACATGCTTACGTACTGTTCAACCGTTCTCAGGCCAGAGTCCACGGTGCCAGAGTGTCAGGCTCAGGCCTAATCGGGTCCGCAGGGTCTGCTCTGCTGCTGACCTCTGACCTTCTAATGGAGCGGAGCAAAACAATAATAATAAACTTCATTTACGTAGCACCTTTCCTTAAAATAACGTCCAGGATCCATTTTTGCACTACCCTCATCCTTTCCACCGTGTGCCTTATGACTGCATACTATTTTATACTGAGTACTTAGTTCTGGGTACTTATGTTGCGTATTTATATGTCCGGCCTACTTATATGTTTACACCGGGGATCAGAGAGAAACAGCATCTCGATATCATCTATGTCCTGTACATACACTACAATATTTATCCACCTGGTCCCGTACAAATATTCTTCATTCACGTTAACTTTACATCATTTGCCTGTATTATATCCTCAACGCATTTGATCACTTTAATCAATATCTATCTACAGTTTTCACAGCCATTATCCTGTTCACCGTCCTTTTACAGTCAAATACACAACTCTTACTTTATAGTTTCTGCACAGTGCATTGATTGTTAACTGTCTGTGGATATTCCACTGATGTGATTGTTGTTTTTTCTCTCTTGTTTTGACTCGTCGTCTCGACGTGATCTTTAAAAAATGTGCCTCGGATAAAGTTGTTTTGCATTAGGATATACAGAACTGATAATAAAGTTGACTTTGACAATGTACCGGCAGCTGCTCAAGAGACAGAACTGGAGCTCGTAGCTTTCTGACATGTTTGCACGCAGGGCAGAGACTTGTTGTTGCTCATCATGTGTGTTCAGGGCTCCTTGTTTTCTCAGACACATGACGGAGGCCCTGGATGATGCATCCTGAGAGCGGATACTACTTCTGTGTTGTGTCTTTGGATACTTCTGTCTGCTTATATGTGTGTATATGTATCGGAGAGAACCTGCTTTTGAATCTTTGTCCTCCACATGAGGCAGGATTGACAATGAGGTTGACTACTCGTCCTCTGACACATGATGGAGGCCCTGGGTGATGCGGTGCACCCTGAGAGCGGCTGCTACTTATATGGGCATGAAACCCTCATTGTGCACATACCTCCTCCATTAACCAGCTTCATGTGGGACCCCTCTCCTCCTCTGCACCTCCTCGACTTCCGCTTCTCCCTCGGCGGCTGTCACCCTTTCAAACTTGCGCCCGCCCCCCCGGGTCCCGCTGATTGGCTCAGAGCGAGTGTCTCCGTGAGGAGCCGCCGGGACCCGCCTCCGCCTGGACCGCACCCCGGCGCCGGCTGTCTGCGCACCGGGCGGAATTACGCGACCCAGCGCGCAGCCAGTGGAAGAGGGAGGGAGGGAGAGAGAGAGAGAGAGCAGGAAGAGGGTGAGAGAAGAAAAGAAAGAGTGAGAGAGCCAGAGAGAAAGAGAGAGAGGGAGGAAGCCACAACTCTCCGCGAGGCTCGACGGGAAAAGAAGTTTGACTCACGGCGACGCGGACGGAGCCACTCGGTTGTTGTTAGCCACCCTCTGATCGGCCTCCTGCACCCTACGAGCAGGTAAGACCGCCGGGCCGCAGCGCCTTTTTATCGGCCATGCTCTCTCCCCTCTCCCCTCTCCCCGGACCGTCACTTCCAGCAAGTGCAGGGAACCAGGAAGCGGCGCGGCGGCGAGTTAGAGCCGCGCTGGGTGGAGAGGGAGCTCCGCGACACATCCGAGCCCCCGGGGCTCCTGTAACTCCCCCCTCCAGCGTGGATCCTCACTTCTCAACACTTTATTATTTGTGCTTCATCAGAGAGAAGGAGAGGATTTAGTTTGAGAAGCTGAAGTAAAAAAAAAAAAAAAAAAAAGTGCAGAGGCAGGAAGTGACTCGCCTGAATGAGTTGCAGGAGGAGGCCGGGGGAGAGTTCGGCCTCGAGCGGGATGGAGGTGAAAGAAAAGCGGGTGCGGAGCCGCGGGGCGGGCGGGGGGGGGCCCCGGCGGGTTCGGTTCGGTTCTGCTGACTCCTGCGGAACCCGGAGGAGTTCGGTTATTGTGATTGTTGAATAATGGCTGAACTCTGCGTGGATGAAGCGTCAAGAACAAGACGACGTGTGTGGCCGGTAAACGTGTCTGGCTGATGGCATGACGTCACCAGGACATGGTGGGACCCCCCCCCCCTTAAACTTGAATTATAACTTAAATATATGAAATAGTCAAATATATAAAATAAGTAATGATCAAACAGAACATACACGTGTGTGTTTATCAGGACCATTGTTTTAAATGTTAACGCCCCCCCCCCCTTATAAACTTAATAATATTAAAAATCCATACTGTTGCATCTTTCTTATGACCGTTGTTGTAAATGTATATGATTATATGTAAAGTACATTTCAAACAATTCCCTATAGTTTCCTTAAGTGTGAGACATGATGTCAACGATGGACCCCCCCCCCCCCGAATACACTTAAAATATAACTTAAAGCTTCAGTGCGTAGAATATAGTGACATCTAGTGGTGAAGTGTCACGTTGCAGCTGAACGCCCCTCACCACACCCTCGCCTTCCAAACTGTGGTAGCTTCAGTTTTCATAAAAACTCAAAAGGTGGTCTACTGTAAAAAAAAAAACATGGCGGCCTCCGTGGAGAGGACCCGCTCCAGATTTAAATATGAAGTATTTAAATATAAAGGGACCATTCTAGGGAATATTAAACCACAGTATGTAGAATTTACGCACGAGGGAAAACATCACTAGGATTATTCTTAATCTTACACACTGAACCTTTAAACTCAAGTATATAAATATATATACATTGACACATAAAGAATGAAATTCAATATTTAAAAAACGTTTGTTCTGCTGTTGTGGGATGAATAACACTATAAACTCAATCTGTGATGATCAACAGCGATTTGTTTTTGCATCAGGAAGCTGAGTGAGCCAGCACTTATCAGAAATGGCACATATACGACAGGAGCCTGGTTGAAAGCATCAGTTAACATTGCAGCTCCGTGTCGAAAGCAGAAACAAGCCCTCTGAGATGATTCAATCTGCAGGGGAAGGTGATTGACAAGCTCCAGAAACAAATCTGAGATATATTTGACACAGAAAAGCAAAGCAGATAACTGCTTTTATTGGGTCATATAATAATTACACAATCATAAATGCATCAGTTGTCGTATCATTTCGATTCGGTTGCCAAAACATGGGGATGCCAGCTGAAAATTATCAGGTTTGCCTTCTACTTAGAGCGCAGTCCGCTGTGATGAGTATTTGCTTGGCAACTTGAATTTTCCACAGCTTAAGAGATTTTATGGGGTATATCAATATCCTGCCAAGTTAAGTACATTTTATTTATTTACCGCAGTGTCACAAATCTTTCTCAGAGCGCTTCATCAGCTGCGAGACTCCCTCTAATCCTGGAGCCTTGAAACTTAAGGACATACTGAGTTTAAGTCAAGCAGGTAGCAATCAGGAAAAGTGTGTCATAGAGTGGGGAGGTTAGCGATTAGCGACGGCTTCAAACTGTGTCTCTTTCCTCTAACTTTGCAGTTTCAAGGTGTTGCACTTCTGTCGGTACAATTTGCTAGTCTCGCTTTTCAGGTGGTACGTCGTCGTGTTTGCTCCCTGGGAAGCAAACAGAGTCAGGTATGCTTGCACATCCCTCCGAGTTTGAGTAAAGGGGAGCTGAGCTGTGTGGCTCAGTATTTGAAGTATTTGCGTGAACTTAACCTCAAGTCAGACTGGGCATTGTAGCACTCACAACTCTGGCATTCCTCCACGCAAACCTGCTTCTCGTTGAACAGTGTTAGCGGTGTCAGAGAAGGTGAGCACAGAAACTTTTTTTTCCTCCTGCCTTCAGTAATCACAACCACACACTCCCGTCCAGCTCGTGTTCTCTGCCAAGAAGCCGTTAAACTACAGTCGTATAGAAATGTTGATGATGCGTCATGCTGAAATACCCAGTAGCTTGTGTGTTGTTTTTAAAAAAAAAATTTAAGTCATCAACTCTTATCTACATCGAGTTCAGATAATAGACGTTTGCTTTGTTGATGACAAAGGCACATCTGTAAACACAATGGGTGACATGTACTATGTCATATCCTGTTATTGCCATCGAGTCACTGAGGTGAATGAATTCCTGGCAAATCGTTGTGCAATAATGTCTCTGGAGGCCCGTTCCTTGCGTGGGTTACTTCTTTTGGTGCAGATGTGGAGCCTCCCGCAGAGATTCTTTCATTCCATCGCTCATGCATCAGCACCGTCTGCACCCGAGGCCCCCTAGGACTGCACTGTCGGATAGACGAGCTTAGATGCAGACATTTTTAAAAACGTGAACATGCAGCTGTTGTGTGAGTCTGTTAAATCTTAGTCGAATCGTCCGGGCTGAGAGAACATGCCTGTGGATGTTTGGGTGTTATTGAATGAATGGTTGTCCCGACGGTGCCAGATTACTTGCAGGCCCCTTGCTTTTGTTGCAGATGAGAGGGCGACGCAGTTGGACTCACTACAACCCACAGCTGTCTTCTGTTATGAAATCTCAACGTTCTTCAAACAAATGTGCAGAGTTTTCAAAACTTTTATCGGTTGTTAGTGTGACCTCATTACAGTCGTGGTCTCAATCATCCCCTAACCTCAGATGGCCAGACTGAGATGAGAAAAATGCGTTTTTGCCACAGGCGACATAAATACCTCTATGTTTTCAAACGTAAACGGCATTTTCAAACTAAAATAATCTCTTCACACGAGCGTTTTGTCTTTCTATCAGTTTCAATCCCCGTCTGTGCGAACTTAATCGAATTTAACCGCACAACAGCTGTTAGAAAAGACAACATGGTCAGTAATTGATTCTCCATGTTGCGTTCTACACTGGTAGCTTAGGCTGCTGCCGCTCGTTGTCTTCTGGAGGAGGGTCACGTGATCGGAGCTTGACGAGCTACGTCGGGATTAGAAAAATCAGCCAAGTGGCTATGAGTGTGTGTCATCGTTTCCAAATGGCTCTAAAACTCCAGAGTAGTGTAGATGTTGGGTGAATCTGCTGCGGAGTTATAAATAAAATAAAAACGCACTGAACCGGATATAAAGTCAGAGACCAGAGAAGCTCAAAAAGTTGCGAGAGAGCGGACATGACTTGTTGAACTCACTTTATTCAACCGCTGTTTTTAATGATGGATTACGCAACTAATAAAAATGTAAAAAAGTATCTGGTTTCATCAGCCGAGACTCGTCCGGGCCAAATCCTTAATATGTCTTATAACACGTGAAACAGCAGAAGATGATGTTTTCTCTTCTGAGCGCATCACTCGTGCATCATAGTAATTATCTGGTCATATTTGGTGCTGTAGATCAGTCATGCAAAGAGTCATGCTGATCCTAGTGTCCTCCCGAGTCAGCTGACATTCATTCACACAGGCAAAAGAAAAAAGTCCAGTCAGTCCAGAGACTGTTGAAGTGTTTTAACCGTGGCAGAGCTGATCATGTGATCTCTCAGTAGGTAGTTGGCTTTGATTTCAGCTCCTTCAAAAGATTATTCTTGAATATCTGGTCTTACTTTCTGCCGAAGCATCATTTTCCTTCTGGTTGACGGGAACAGCATAAACACGTTGCCTCCGTCAAACCGGTTGAAGAAATCTGTGCTTGAGATGAGTCTGCACCCGTGTGTGCTGCGGGTGACCTACTTCCTGTCACTGCTTTTCGTTTCTCACATTTCCTTCTTGTCTCAGTTTCCTTAACAGACTTTTAATGCGTTGGTTTGTTCAACTTCATTTCCTCTGCTTGGCCTCTCTTCCTCCGCTTGTGTGTTTTTGCCACCACCCCATCCTTCCCTCCATCCTCCCCCTCGCAGCACACACCTGTAAGATTGCAAAATGCTTCCAGACAATACAAGGAAATGGCTGCGCTCCTACTTGGGCCACATACAGAGCGGACTCTGAATTTCTGATCTGTAAAGATGGACCTTGACCCTTGCACAGTTTCTATTCTGTGGTATTATGAGGTCACACTTGATCACAGATTACTGACTCCACAGGCCAGCATTTCTTAGAATGCCGATTTATTGATCCAGCTTCCTGTTGGGCTACATTTATGTGAAAGTGTGTGTGGACTTTCCTGAATAACCTTCAGGTGGAAAAGACAGTTGTGATGTATTAGGACAGATCTAGAGTGGTACACTTCTTTTCTTGTATAACGAAAGTAGACTTTGTCCTCAGGTGTGTGTGTGTGTGTGTGTGTGTGAGAGAGTCGCACAAATGCACACACCCACTGGAGTGTAACTGCAGAGAAATACTTGTGAAACACATTCACCGCAGACACTTTAAACTCTGCACTGTGAACTCTTAAAACACGCTGTGTAATGGATCTATCCTGATTCATATCGGAAATGTTTCTACAGCGGGTTTTCAGACGCTCCTGTGGCCCTTTGAGGTTTGTGAACGCATCGTCTGAGGAGACGATTGTTAAAACAAAGATAGCTTTGTGTGGTCGTCAGAGTGACTCAGAAGGGAGTGACCCAGGTAGAGATAACAAGTGATAAAGCTAAAAAAAAAAAAAAAAAAGCTGTATACTAATCCACAAGGA